TGTACTCTTGAAAATTTAAACGATCAGCACGACAAATACGTTAAAGGCAGCATAGCAGATTTTTTGAACTACGATCGAACAACGCAAAAGTAACATTTTTTTAAATGTCAACATCGATCCTCCCCTTCTTTTATGCAAATAAACTTTCAGAGGGGGGAATCCAAAGCACGCAACTTACTGGTACTTATCGCGTCAAGTCCGGGCTGACGTGCAATAGGCTTTCCTCAGGATACGGTGCAGGGGCTATCATAAAGACATTCACGGGTTCGCGGAAGTGTCGTAACGATTTTAAACAATAAACACGGTTATAAAGAAAAGTTTAAATCTGGCGTAAGGAGAAAAGGCGTAAAAACGTCGCCATTAAAACCATTAATAAAACCCCTAGAAACTTCGTTGCTCTTATAAATAGGCAGGTTGTTCTAGGTAGTGTTAAAAATTACCAATCCTAGTTAAACTTAACTATAAATAAATTTTTATAAAAAAAAAATACTACAATATTTGACATATGAGATTTTTCTTAGGTTGTGCGGGGTAACGAACCTGTATTTTGGTCCTTTTCTGTCATTCTTGTATGTCAATCTGTACTGTTATCGTTTCATCTTCGTCGGTTAACTTGCAGCACCCTACTTATATCTTTGACTCAACACTGATAATGGAGAAAGGCTGAAAGAAAGCAAACCGGTGAGGAAAGGGGCAGGCCAAATGATCGGAAAGTGACAAATTGCAGTGCAAAAATCACAAATAAAAAGGCTGAAAAAACATTGGAAGAAGGGTAAAACCAATCGGAAGTCTTAAACTGTTGTAACACCATTTCTTCCACTCTAGTTTACAAAGTGTTCGGCTTCGATGCGTTTTTAGATTTTGTCCTCGCTTTCGATAAGGTCTGGCACCAAAACATCCTCTATAAATTAAGCAATTCCTACCCACCGCTTATTATTCTTAAATCCTATTTAACTGACCGCTCCTTCAGAGGATTTAGATATCAGACAGGTACAGACCGGCGTCTCACAAGGGAGCATTCTAGGTCTCATCCTTTATACCATATGTACTGCTCACTTTCCTGTACATCCCAATACCATCAGTAGGGGCGTCGGTGACCTCAATGGTTTAGGCGGCGTTGACACGGTAAGGTAAAGGACCCGGGTTTAAATCCAGCGGCCATGCATTCGAACCCGACATACATATTAATGTGCTTTTTTTCAAAAACACCGGCACCCAGAGGGTTGATATAACCTCTGCTGTTGCGCACCCTCGTAGGAAAAAAACCACAAGTGAAGTCCAATATACAAAACCTTCGGGTTGGCCAGTTGCCACCCGCAACATTAAATATCGAGGGAGTATTTCAATACTATTTCTTGTCCTGCTGAAGTTTACACGTAATGATTTAGAATGATTCAAGTCAAGCTTATTAATAGCAAACCACTGGATTGCCCTATCAAATATTTCAGGAGTTTGGCATCAAAAAAGGGCAGAGGGAATTACCACGAATCACTAAGTTAAAGTCATCAGCGTATAGTTATGAAGTAATCAGGAGCACTAAGGAAGGAGGGCAAGTAGTTGCAAAACATAAAGCAGAAACAATAGTGAGCCTAGTATGAAGCACTCCCATGTTATCATTCTCACCTTTAATTTCATCTCATCATTTTCATTTTCATTCTTTATCGAAACTGACCGGAGCCATTGTCAACTTTAATATTCATTGTAGACCGTCTTCCTTACATATAGGAGCCAATCCACTTTATTACTTTACCAATTACACCATACATCGACAACTTACTGATAAGAATATGATGAACTCAGTCGAAAATTTTGGCTAAATCAAGGTAATTGAATAATCTCCCTCATCCAAAATAGAGGACACATAATTTATTAAAACAAATTTTTTTTATCTACTTTCATTCATAATAAGTTCAAACACTTTAGAAAATGCTGTAAGAATTGAGATTGGTCTATAGTGAATAGATATGGTCTACTGTAATTCGTGATCACCTTTCTTATGGATGGGGATCCTAAATTTTTTTGTGGCTTGGAACATGATCCATAATTTTTTACCGTATGGCGATCATGCATAATAAATTCAGACACTTTAGAAAATAATTTAAGAAGAAATTGGCCTATAGTTGTTCAATAATTCTTGATCACCTTAAAATCTTCAAGAAATTCTCCCTGAGCAATGCTAAAATTGAATAGATTAGATCTATTGTGAAGTAAAAGAAGAAATGAATGTTTAGTCAAATATAAAACTCGGGGTCAATAAGGTAGGAGGACAGGTCCTTAACACAGTACAGAAACATGGTGGGTCAAGTATGCTACATTGAGGAACGTTCATAATATTATATTTTATGGAAAACGACCGGAGCCATAGCCAGCTTTAGAATTCATTGTAGACTATCTTCCCTAAATATATGAGCCAAACCATTTCAGTACTTGACCATACTCTTTGATAAGAATACGACCAACCCGGTCAAAAGCTTTGGATAAATCCAGGTATGTCCCGACTCCCAAAATCTCCCACATCCAAAACAGAGTACATATAGTTTGTTACATCAAAAACTGCTGGTCTGTTCTAAGCAATGCTGAGAAAAAATGATCCACATATTTTTACGGTATGACGGTCATTCATAGTAAGTTTATAAACTTTATAAAATACTGTAGAATGGATATAGGTCTATAGTTCTTCACCATCTTTCTTATGAATGTGGATAATTTGCGTGCTTGAAAGCGTCATGGAATTCTTTCTGAGCCTTGGAAAGATTGAATAGAGCAGACAGATTCTTAAGGAAAGATCTGAATGAAAGTCTACAAAAATCTTGTATAACTTGGCATCGATTTGTTAATGGTCATTTTCACGAAATCTTTGTCAATAATTGAAAAAACCTATTAAAATAAAGTTAATAACGGGGAATTTGTAAAGGTTTGACAAGACAATAATCTGCGGTTTGTTGTATAAACTCGAGAGTGCCTAATAAATCAGTTTTTCATTTACATAAACTTATTAAAAAGATTTGTTTTTACATCTTATGCGCCACATTGGTTAAGTAGCATGGATTATATTTTAGGGATTGGGTTGGTTGGTGTTGGCTATTTTAGAAGATTTACATCGCAGAATGATATTGCGATTCCGTAAAACAATAGCAAGACAATAATCATCGCAGAACGGATCTATTAACCACTTCTAAGTGCGCCCTTCTCCCGAATGTCATAAACATCATTTGGATGAAGTGGAGAGTAATTCTTTATTAGAAAATGCTTTCTGGAAAGGCTCAATTCCAAGCAGAACAAAGAAAATGTAATATTCCAGCCGTTTTGATTAAGGTTGAACAGAAATAAAAGACCAGTTTTGTCGAGATTTTTTCCACCTTTATGGATTTTATATGGATAAGCTTTAAATTAGTTAGATTATTGACAAATAAGTGAAGTAATTTATGAATAAAAAACGGGAAAGTACATCAGAATTTAGCCTTCTCAAATAAAAATTTTCACTTCAATTACAACCCAAACAGTGACAAATGTATGAAGGTCGAAAGAGAGATTTTCACTGCAGACAACCATACTCTCTCAAAACAAAAAAAGGAAAACTGACTTAGTCTCGCTTTTGTTTCAATTTTTTTTAAAGAATTTCACTACCGTTTAGCAGTAGAGCAAACCTAACAGGAAAGAGTAGAAACTTATACAGAACACGTTGTAGATTTATTTTCTTTGTCTAGTGTCCCATGAATGTTATGGTCGGAAGCACTCCTAAAGCTTTTGCATACCAAACTTTGCACCGTAACCTTTCGTCGAGTTTTGTCACATCGTTAAGAGTTTTCAAGTTGACTAGTCTTAAATGACATCCAGGGAAGTTTAATTAAAATACTCGTACGGCAAAAAAATTAAGTACTGGCCGTCAAGCTTAATAAAGGTTGAAAAGAGTTTAATTTCATCTTACGATTCAATTTGTTATTTATTAACGTCTGTTATACCCTTGTAAATGCAAATTGTCTAACTACAAGATTGTGCAATACTTGTACAATTGTAGTGAAATTTTTAACGAGCCTGGCGTGTGTGAAAATGAAATTACGCTCGTGGAAATTTAATCAAAGCAACCTGGCATTTAGTTGCTTGAAAGGTCGTAATAACATAACATACGATATTTTATAATACCTTTCATCATCAGCATCAGTCAGCCTGTCGGCGGCAGGCATTTTGCTGGAAAATCTCGATTGGCAAACAACGCGATAGGAATTACTTAAAAATCCAAAACGAAAATAAGTAATCATACAATATATATATTGAATTTCAAGTTTTATGTGCAATTTAATTTTATCTTCGTTATATTTTAAGAATACAGACTTATTTGTCAGATTTTGTTAGTTCATTTCAGTTACTATGTACTACTACATGAGTCAAAATATATGCATAATTTATTTTTTAAATATTAACAGTATCGGTGCATTTCATTATACCATGTGTAATTCATAAATATGAGTATAAAGGAAAACATTTGTAGATAGAACAACAAATTTTCAATTTAAAATTTTAATCAGTTTGTGAAAATTCCCAATTTATCTTAACTCTAGAGTCTAAAAATCGGGGCTTTCTTCAAATTAATGATATATCTGACTCCAATTTTTAATATTTATCAAAAGTGTTTTTAAACGTTTGCCTTTTGATTTGACCTGTTAATTTGGGGTCTTGGTGTGTTAATTTTAACTGGTGGTTGACCAATTGTTTGCCTTTCTTAGAAAAAAACCTTTTCAAAATATTAGATTTGTGCAGTGCTCGCTGATACATAGCTCGCTTTGATGTAATTGTCCCGACCTTCGCGACACATTGAACATATTGGCGACATTTATTTCTTTCGTCATAATAGCATATCCTTGTTTATAATTGAATTTAAATTGTACTCTGTCGCGTGCGGACGCTTAGAGATGAAAAACGGGAGGGGGTCGGATATACTTATATTTACGAAATAAAACATTTAAAAATAAATAAAAGATCGAATTTAGAGGGAAACTCACCGAAAAAATGAAAACCAAACGTGAAGAAATTGAGGAGGAGCATGTAGTCAAAAAATGAAATTCGACCCATTTCGCTTTTCTTGTTTCTTTTTCCCCCTTAAACGGTTTTAAAATTTTCCGTCTTCATTGTCTTTCCCTCGACTGGATTGTCCATTCGCGAACCGTTCTTCATAGGGCTCGTGTTCCCGCTGGACTGAGGGATCGGGGTGCGGACGAGGACTCGAGGGTTGTCCTGCTGCGCACTCTCGACCACCTGTGGACGCTCCGCCCCATTCAAGATCCTTTTATCACTCGACACGAACGAAGAGCTCCTACGATCAGAATTCGGGTTTGCTGGACTTCGAAGGAGGCAGGGTTTTCTTTAAAGCCAGTGTAGATTAATGTGCACCAGATCAAACAGCATCCTTACGGAGGTCTTCAGATCGCCAAAAAATTTAAAAATCCATTTTTTCTGGTTTTATCAGCATATTTTTTATATATATTTATACTGATAAAATTGAGTTCAAATTCAAAATCGTGCGGTTTTGACGGACCTTATCTATTTGTTAGTATATATCTGCCTTTCTTTCCATTACTAATTATACAATATTTATTTATTTAAATATTTTTTAAAGAATGTTTTAAATTGGTTACTATGGTCCCACAAACACACACAATGCCGAAGAACATCTGATAAAGGTACCTGTAAAGAGCGTAAAGGAATGTGACTCAATATGGTAATGGTGATTGAACACGACAGCGAGTATTTCCCCTGTTCAGATTTTTGGAGGAAACAGGGCTGTTTTATTGTACTTATTCTTCTTCGCTTTAGTTGAGTGTAAAAGGTGGTGGTGATGATGATGAGATACTAGGACACGGGAGTTTTATTTTCCACGAGCACTTCTGACTTTTAGCTTATTGTACTTTTCTAGTTCTATAGTTCAGTTTAATTGACTTGAAGCGGTTGTTTCGCATTCAGAGATAATAGATAAACATGGGTAGCAGTTTCTTCCTTTTCATTGCATAAACTATAAATGAATATACCCATATTGTATAGGTGATTTGTAAGATGCCAGTAGCCAGTATAAGCTCTATACTAGTTGGTTTTAGTCTAACAGCAGTGTGTTTGTCAGTTTTGTTGAAGGTTCTTTAATCAGGAATAGGTCTGGCACCTATGTTATTTGTGCACTTCTTGATTTTTGTGGGCTGAGATGTAGGATTGTGTTATCCTGGAGTAAAGGTTGTGGGCCAATAGTTGGTCTTGCAGATCATCTGGGTAGTTCGTCCGCTTGTTCATAAGTCATAATTATTTTGTGCCCTCGCACACAAGATATTGTCAGGTTTTTGTTTTTCGCCGTAATCGGTTCTGACCCTTTTTTACGTGCTAATGCTTTTAGGGCTCCTTGGTTTGCTATATTATTTCGATTTTTGTCAGTGTAATCTATTTAAATATTTACTAATACGCAGCCATCTATAGTATGTATTTTAGCCTGAAAGATTGAGGTGTGCTTCCTTAATGATTTTGATTGCTCATATTTTGAGCTTGGACAGAATATACCTGGATCGGTTCCTTCTTCTAGTTTTGGAGCAATCAGTATACTGACGGTATTTGATTTTCTTCTGATTTCTTCTTCTCTTTTGTAGTCTGTTAAATCTTTATGTAATCTTGCACAGGATGTTTCCAGGATCATATAATCCGTCCCCATTCTAAGAATGGGTGACTGATTTTATTTTTTATTGTCCGTAATCCTTAATCCACATCCAATTTTTTATGAGCTTTTCTTAGCTTTAACGTATAAATGTTTCTAAAGGAGATCTGTTTACAGTGTTTCTAAGACAGCTGATGATGTATTATTGCCACTAATATTTGCGGAAACCGATTTTGTTGACTTTTAGTCCGCCAGATTACCAATAGTAACGTAGTACAGATTAGTAATAGTACGTCTCACTTAATATTATACTGCTGGGTATAATCCATATGACATTTTCGGTCTCCAAGATTTAGCAGGGTTCTTCTTGGGGCTATTAGTAATATTTTAGGTTATGACGTGTTGTAGGTGAGGGTTACAGATTTATTTTCAAAGATAATTCCTAAGCATTTAACTTCATTTTTGAACTGAAGCACTTCATGTATTGCTTAAATATGGACCTCATTTTTTTTTCTTTTCCTGGTGAATGCAATTAGTGAAGTTTTTGTGGCCCCGTTATGAACACCATTTCTCAACCATGTTTCATTCTTTTAATGCTGGGGCTAATTTTCAACTGACTAGTATGACAATATCATCTCAATATCTTAAGTTTTAAATTCCTCTTTCATTGAATTTGTATACAAAGTCATCCATAATGACATGACACAGCAGAGGCGAATACCTTCATTCCTATGGACAACCTCTCTTCACTAGTGCTTCGACATATTCGTTGAAGCCTGTACTTTTCTGCTTTTTAGCACATTTCTTATCTCACTACAGCTGATTTAATCAAACGCTCCTTCAATATCCAAGAAGTTCCTAATGCTATTTTTTGTTTGTTAATTGAATCTTCTGTTTTTGTAGCTATTTGATGTAGAGCTCGATTCATAGGATTTTTCTTTTTGATAAGCGTATTCACTGCTGTGAAGGTGTTTTCTTTTTATGGAGCTATTCCTTACGCATCTTTCAACAAGCTCTCAAGCGTTTTGTGTGAAAAGGGCGTTAGACTAATTGGGCTGTACGTGCTTGCCTCTGTGTAAAACTGGATGTTCATTTGGTGTTACTAATCATCACTTCTTCTTGAGAGTTTCATCAAAATAATTAATTAAGAACAGTGTTTGATTAGATTGACGGTTGCTTTCGCATGAAGTAGTTTGTGGTATTAGTTCATGGAGTGTCATCTATCCCTTAAGATTTTTGAATGAATTCCTTTTCTTTAAAAGTTCACGCCAAAGTCAAGTTAAGACGTTTTTTCATTCAGTAACAGTTTCTTATGTAGATGTAAGTCATGTTGGAGGTTGATTTAGCTCTACCCGTAGAGTCTTCTTTTCTAGTCACCTTCATCTCAATATTAAAATTGGGCACAGTATTTAATTGAGGGAACTGTTTCCTTATCACAAATAATTTCACAGAAAAGTAATCTCAATAGGTCCCTTTAAGGAAAAGAAACCTAAAAGTAATCTGCAACAGGCTCTCTTAAATTTATTTTACGACTAACGGGCCCGTAGTAAATTACTATAGGACATAATAAAGCGAGAAAATCACACTTCTTCCGCGCTGGAATGGAACAGTTTATATTCATCTGGATAGGGAATACAATAGATTTGTTTACCGACCTTTGGTTTCCTTTGAAACCATAAGAATATTAATGGTAATAATTATTCATTTTTTATTGAAATATAATTAATTATTATTTTGAGTATTGATGGAACTGGAGTTTGGTAGATCCTATCATCATGTTTCGTCTAGATTGTCTGTTGTGTTCTGTAAGGCACGTTGCGGCATTTAGCCCTCGTCAATGACCTAGCCTCACCCTGCTTATATACCTCACCCACTAGGGATAGGAAGAACCAAATAATCGGAAAGGACCAAACCACTTTTTGTTCTTGATTATAATTGGTATTGAGGTAATTATAGTAAACTGACTTGCAGTTTCCTTCTTTCTGGTTGTATCAGTGACCAAGCGACGTGGCAAAGTAGGTTAAAAACAATTTTAGCTAGAAACAAAGTAGGTATATATTTATTTTCCGCACCCAAAGATACCCCTGAATACAAATTTTCTGTAAAATCAAAAACTAATTTTTTTCTCAAATTTTTCGCTATCCAAGTGCTTCTGATTTTTTCAAAAAATCAAAATAATAGTGGTAACTTACAAATAACTCCGCCAATCTACAGGAAACTTTACAAGGATTAGAACTCTATAAACTAAACGCAATGGCTTAAACTTAACCTCTCTTTATTTTTCTTATTTAAAATGGCATAAAATAAAACCATATATATTAAGACTGAAAGAAAGGAAATTCAGCTTTCCAACTGTTGTAATAACGTGGGATCTAAATGAAATCTTGAGAAACTATGCATTTTTAAGTAGAACATCGGACATAATAATACACTGCCCATCACAAAAAAACCGACCAGCTGGTTTTTGCACGAAAAAATGGCCAAATATGGAAATGTCGATATTCTCAGCCTTTTAAGTCACAGACTTGCGATGTCTCAATTTTTTAGAAAATTTTACGCTGAACAAGGTGGCTTTTTTAAAGGTTTTTCTACCTTCAGTCATTCATCAGTAAATTCAAAAATTCGGGAACATGTTAGTTTTTGCACTTTTTACGAAAACATTAAACTGAGCTGAGGGGCCAGAAAAATCACCCTCGAGCGACGCCCTTTAGCAATCGATAGGAAATTTTAATAAGCTTTCAATTTCTCCGATTTCTCGACCGTTTTCGAGTTACTCGCGATTTTGGGCAAAAAGTTTGTTACGTGCTCATGGAAAAAACCGATCACTTTCTCCAAATGTGCTCAAGAATGCATAAATTTAGAAACGTCATGTTTTCGCAAATTTTACGCTCTACAACTTTTGTGTGAAGTGAACAAAGAAGCGACAATTCTTATTTTGACCTTTTGGGATACGGAATTCTTCTGCTGTCGATATCCACTTTTTTACCTCATGACGGAAATTCAACTTTTCCTTCCCATTTTACAGGTGGCAGTTTGGCTTCAAATAACGTATTAAAACAATGGTAAAATCGGATTTTTTTTATGTGCAATAATAAAATCAGCCAAAATTAATCCAGCACAAAAATTAATTTTTATTGATATGAAAAATGTGTATTTAAAGTTAATATTTATGGGGTGCTAAAAATTAATTCGTATTTTATTTTTTTCAGGAGTAATTTTTTGAGGGGGCGAGGGCCTACTTTATTGGAAGTGCTTGGTTTTTGTAACTTTTTTTATATGTAAATTTCATTTAATACAAATCTGCATATTATTTTCCTATTCTAGCTTAAAAAAATAAATCCACTGATATATAGCGTATCCCTTTTCAAACAGAACAGCCATTTTTATTGTAAACAAAGTACAACAAAAACATTTAAAAAAAGTTAAATAACCCCCTTTATTTTTTGTATGGTATCTATTTTTATTAAACAAACTTTTTTCTACCGGGATGTACAAGAAGACTCAATCAACTTTTCATAAATACAATCCTACGTTTTTTTATGCATATTCGTAAAGTACATCGTTTTTATTTTTATTATTATTATTTTATTTTTATTT